CTTGATCTGTGCATATTTCTCTTCTGATTCAGACAAGACCATTTTATAGATAGCAGTATTATGGATAGAGAGGACTTGCATTTTGGCCAAAAGTGACAATTTAATGTTATAAAGCGCCTTGATGGATTTGTTTCTTATAAAAACATTTTAAGCCTCACAAGACATTAACTGATGGACTGGAGTGGTGTGGATTACTTGTGGATTATTGTGATGTTTTTATCAGCTGTTTGGACTCTCATTCTGACGGCACCCATTCACTGCAGAGCATCCATTGCTGAGCAAGTGATAAAATGATACATTTCTCCAAATCTTTTCTGATGAAGAAACAAACTCATCTACATCTTGAATGGCCTGAGGACCAGTACGTTTTCAGTTTTTGGTGAAGTATTTCTTTAACACTAAAACACTTACGTCTGGGTTTTTTGCACATTTTATAGATACAGCAGCAGGGGCAGCAGCAGCAGGTGATGAACACGATGATGAAGACCACAAACCCCACTACTGATAAGCCAATGGCAATACTACTGTTTCTGCTGTTGGACAGATAAAAACATGAAGCAACAAGCATTAGAAAAAGCATCTTCTAGTATATTTAATCTATAATCTAATCTATAAATCTTATTTATATTAAAATGTTATTAATTAACATTTCATTTATTGATTTTTTTATTTTTTATAAATTTAATGAAACCACTCTGGTTTAAGTAAAACACACTGGTTACTGCACTGGTTAGTTTGCTTTGTGCTTGGATTATTAAAAACATACAATATCAAATCAGGATTCAAACCAGGGCCATAATTGCAAACATTGCCACTAAAAAAATAGAAAACATTTTGTTTGTATAAAATATTTGTTAGAACATTTTTTAACTACTTTGGTCATGCCCTGTCTTGCCTAGGCCACCACGTTAACCCCCTTCAAAAATGTAGAAGTTGCATCATACTACTTCTCTCCTGCCTTGTCTTTAAATTGACCTGAACACAAAGTGGCTGTTAAAAGCTTAACATGCACCTATCAGTGAGTGGGGTGAATTTTGCAAACTGCATTTCAGTGAAAAAGACCACAACCTCTGTAGGAAATGGGTGAGACAAGACAAGGGAAAGACAAAACCTCAACTGATTCAACACCGGAAACGAAAAGTACATTTCAAGATAGGGTTTGAGATTTACATCAACAATTAGACTAAGATCAAAAACAGATATTAACGCTAATATACACAACACATTTCAGTGTAAATCTCTGGATTGTACCATGTCTCAGTTCACAGAATTATCAGTAGATCACAGCTATGGATGATGAGGGAAATTAAAGCATTAACTGACACAAATATATTTAAAACAATGTCGTTTTTGAAGATTCAAACAATTTTGGTTTGGAATTATGTGAGGGTGTATAAAAAGTAACTTTGGGGTCTAACGGACAATTGTATTAAGAAAGAAACGGCTTAAAAATCCTTACATATTGCACATATTTTGCTCATGCTCGGATAACTTCGCAGATCCAAAGTAACAGCAGTATCTGTCATTGCAGGTTCCACAGCAGTGCTGCCCAAACCCGCAGGTAATCGAAGACCTGTACACGTTATTGCTGGTGAAGTAGCCCTTACAGTCATCACCAAAACCTAAAAGAACAGTAGAAATGCGACACATTTCATAAAAGACCATGCGATGATATGATCAATTCAAGAGAATCAAGAGAACGGACTTTATAACGTGTACATCGTTTAAAAAGTAAATCAAGTGCTGTACAAATAATTGTTGTACTTGGCAGCCATCGGTAAACCGGCCAAAAACATGTTTAAAGTGTTTCTTTTGATTTTTGTAACAAACTTACCGACTGTTTCCGTGAATAAACCCGCAGACAGGAGCATAAGAACCGCTAAGGTGGACGCCATCGCGCAGTTCTTCCTCTTCAATGCCTCACTACCTTCTCTTGATGCCCACAGTATTACCAGATCGGCTCGTTGGCGTCTAAAGAACCAATTGTAGAAAGAACCTTTCTTTTTCTGTAATCAACCGCACGAAAACACTGGGGAGAAACGAAAGCGAAAGTAAGAAAAAAAAACTGTTGAAGTTAAACTGGTTAAATATGTAAATCTAAACATTAACCAATACAATCAGGGATTGTTGGTGATTTGCTCGAAAATATATCACAAATATTTTTAAAAACAAAAGTTTTATATTATATATTAGTTTCTATGAAATGGATTAAGGTAGTCTGAATTTGTATGGTATATCAGTCTGGCGAGTAAACTAAAAAATTTACTAGCCAATGGCGATTCAATTCCCAAGGTGTCCGTAGAGGGTTGTGCTTCGTTTTTTAAAAACGCATTAGTTTTCACATAATTTACCTTTATTCCACACCGCCCTGTCCCTTCTCTGAGAAACGCTCTGATCATTTCCTGCTTTTATGAAGCCCCTCCCTCAGAAATACGTGTGGGCTCTGATTGGTTAGCTAGCCCAGTGTGATGTGATTGGCTAAACCGCCTCTAGTGTGCGTCTAAATGTCCCGCCCCTCTCCTCAGCAGCATGTGCTCCGGTTGTATTGTAAACAACTGCATTGTTAATATCTCTTATAAGTTTGAGCCTGATTGAGAAGCAGAGGATATTATTGAAGAGGATAATGCAGAGCCTGTGCAATAGGGATGGGAAGATTCCCCGATTCACTCGTGCATCGGCATAAAAAGTTAATGATGCATTGGTTTAAAAAGTGTGCATTGCCTCCAAGTTGTCATTTATATCGCGATGCATCGTTTCAAACATATTTGCATCGGTAAAAACCGATTTATTTATATATAATTACTAATAGATGCGCTATACTTTTATTATTTAGAAAGTGACCACTAATCTGTGACCAATATTTTATATGTAGATTGATTTCTCCTCTCTAAACTGTTTGTCAAGCGCGCGCTCTCATCACTGCTGCTGTGTGAATATGACGCATCACAAGCACTTTGAGTGCCTAGAAAAGCGCTATATAAATGTAATGAATTATTATTATTATTATTATTATTATTAAATGTGTCTTTTGTAGAATTTTAAACCTACACATAATTTTTTTGATAGCAGTAACTGTAAGTTGACTATTGTAATATAGGTAAATCAAATGTAAGCTAGTAGGCTACAGTACTAATTACTATAAGCTCAA